GACGAAATATGGGTCAACATCATAAAGTGTGTAGTCTCTCTGTTATTATATTCCCGTGGAATTATTTCTGATATTCTTTGTTCGGAATGAAGTCTCACAGTGCATGGATCAACCGTACCCTTGATCTGAAGGTGTTGATACCCGATCAAAAAGGTTTTGAAGCGTCGCGTGTTCAACACCTCCCGGCCCGAACTTCATTTGGTCTTCCGAATGCCCACGACAAAACTCAAGAGGTTGGGGATACTCTCTATGGTTTTATCGATGCTTGGAGCCGAAAAAATTTGGGGAATCTTTGTTCATGTCCCCAACAACACCCCCCCGACACATTGGATACTACTATCTCGAGCTTGTCAAACGTGAATGTGGCATACCTCGCCGCACATCTACTGACAGGGGAAACGAAACAATCTACATGGCTGGCCACCAGATCACCCTCACCGAATCGTTCAATATAGACTGCCCAGATCCGATTCAGTCACACCTGTTCACCACGAGCACCCACAATCAGAAGATTGAGTGCCTATGGTCGCAGTTAATGAAGCAATACAACAGCGAGCTAATAAATCAACTTATCGGGTGGAGGAGCAATCGTACTATGATCCACAAGATCCTGTTGAGCAGTAAGTTTATTTATCCACAGCTTCTCTGGTTTGGTAATAAACTGACTAACATTGCATGCATCAAAAGTCTTTTATTTATTTACTTATGGGTTCCACTTCTGCAAGAAAGTCTCGATCAATGGACGAGTAACTATAACAATTACAAACGTCGATTGGACAAGAAGAGCATGCTCCCAACTCGATGTAGTGCAGAATGGTGCTATCAATATCCCTCGGAGGTCGGAGGCGAACAAGGATTGATTCCAGTGCCAATATCTGCTGCCGAGGCCTTACAGCAGGCGTTCTATCCGGAGGGGACAGAATTAATGGAGACGTCTCCCAAATGGTTTGTCAAAGCCATCAAAGAGCTGGAAACCGGGATGCATCTCACAATACCTGTTGTTGACATGCACAACGTTTGGGAGGTGTTCTCTCTTGTTCTTGAAGCTATCCGTTCTTTTGACTCGTCTTGGCTTTCAGACCCTACCAATGACCCTTCTGAATCTTTCTCTCATCGTGCCGCATCCTTTGATGAATAATATGGTTTCTTTATTCATGTCTTTGAATCAAAATAACATAATTTCTGAATTTGTTACATAAGTTACTTGGATGCGTTGTCTTGAATGCGAGTATCTGATTGATTATTTTTATTCTATAATCAATTTCAATTTGGGATAGATGATCAAGCAGTGGTAATTTATGTTTAAAATTGAAAATATGGAATTCATATGAAACAAAAGACATCATGATAAGGGGGATGGTAAATAAAGAACACTTTAATTGAAAAAGGTAACTATCAGGGAATCAGGATGGATATTTTTGGGATTTACATAAAGTCTTTTTACGTATCTCTTCAGGAGTAGCATCTTTTAATTTTTTAGCAACATTGGCAAGTCTCCTGTTGATTTGAAAAGAACAACCTTGGTGAGTCCAGGGGCGTTCTGGATCATTTTGAGAAGAAAGGGAAGGAGGAGGAGGAGTTGTACAATGTTCAAACTTGGTAGTCTGCCAAACAAGTTCAACAATGCCATTAGATTTTACAAATTCAATCAGATAAGCATGCCTTGGAAATAAAAATCCATGACCTAATTCGGAGGAAGGAGGAGGAATGGGCCTCCCAGTTGACTTATCAATATAAGCAAATATACCATAGGTCCATCCATTTAAGTCGTTCTCATCTTGATGGGCTTGGTTGTAGAAATCGTTATATGTGACGGAAACATTTGCAGCAAATTTGAGGTGTTCACGATCTTCATTCTTCATTTCAGTCCACTCCTCCTGAGTCCAATTAGGGATTCCGTATTCTTGCATCAGGGCTTGATTTTCCAGGAAGGCGGTTCGAGAGAGAGCTTCCATCCTGCCAGCAAGGAAGTCGTTGTGGGATTGAAGCTTGGCCCAGTTTGCATCGTCTTCGGCAGTTTGAGCAGGGGTGAGTGTGTTGCGTACATAAGTACCTAGGACAATAATTAATGAATAATCATGAGTATAGCATATGGGATTACTTAGGTCATCATTGGGAAAAAAATGTAATTCGGACATACCTCCAGACTTGCCATCGTCATTTCCTGGGCGGAATCCTATCAGATGCATTTCACCATTGAGTCGTTTGGTATTTCGTTTGTTATGCGGACGATATCTGGCCATGGCATGGAGCGTTTGGATCACATCACAGAGTTTGTCGAATATTGGAGTAGATGGAGATGTTTGGAAGGAGTGATACTCTAGGATGAAGTGAGGTACAAGGCCTGAAGATAGTGCGATTTGACGGGAAGGTTTATCTGTTTTAGGCAAGTATTGAATTGGTTTGTGGGATACTTTTTCTTCAGAAGGGGAGCAGAGAAAGAAATATGTATGCTCGGTAGAGCCAAATTTTCTTTCGAGACTAGCAATCTTCTTTGCAGTACCAGTTGGATATTGAGGCGGAGGGTTGCGGGGCTTTGATGTTTGAATACCGTGATCCGGAAGTCTTTTCGGGACAGGTTTACGATTCCAAAGTGGATCATCATCCTCACTTTCATCATCCTCACTTGACGCACCAACCACACATGACCCACTTTCACCCTGACGGTTGCCGGCCTTGCGCCGAACAAGCAAATCAGGGCTTCCATGTGCCAAGGGGCCCTTGCTTTGAGTTGATGGGGCACTGACCGCACATGACCCACTTTCACCCTGATGGTTGCCGGCCTTGCGCCGAACAAGCAAATCAGGGCTTCCATGTGCCAAGGGGCCCTTGCTTTGAGTGGATGAGGCACTGTGCACCGACACATGGCCAACTTTCACCCTGACGGTTGCCGGCCTGC